TAGCAATTTTACAGAGACTAGTCCAGCTTTCTCCTTTGTATTATAAATCTTACTGAGTCTTCAAATAATGTCAGGAAATTGTTATTGATTTCTATCATTGACTCTGATAAAGAGTGAACATGATATCAATCACTGTAGAAAATTTCACAAAAGGGTCATTTTAAAATGAAATCTAAAATATGACACAATTATATTTTAATAGGAAACTCAGAGAAAGTTGATCAACTGAAAATCAATGGCCAGTACTCAGAAAAAGTGTCAACTTTAGTTATTAAAACTAAGAACAGCAGTTAGAGGGGAAATTTTAAATTAAATTAATAAATTTCTGTAAAAAGCTGAATATATCATGTGAACAGGCCAAGCTAAAACATATGGGAAAGAATACTATTAACTATTTGACTTACATGCTTCCTGTAAAAACTGTAGAGGAAATGGAGAGAATATTGAACAGTTGTAAATTTGCTGTTCTCACGGAATAAGCATAAGCCTAAACCTGTCCCTCCAGGGAGCATGAAAGCCCTACCTGACCAGGGTGCTTATTTCCTAAGGAAACCAAAAAAAACTGCACTCTGTTGTGATGTCTACTAGCACATGAGACATCAAAAGGACCACAGTGAATCAGATTTTCATGGCTACAAGGGAATACAGAGGTCATAGCGTCGAATGCTTTTCTCCTTTCCAATATTTGTAGTGGATTGGATTATGTTGTATAAATATGTTCAGAGTTTAGTCACATTGAACTGATGGCCAGGCGATGACTAAGGTCACCCTTAAAGGATTCAGTCCACTAAATTTAAAGTGCCCAAAATGACTATTTCCAAGAAGATAAACTTTAAATATTCAAATATTTAAAAGCTAGATTAACTATTTGTAAGTATAGTATCTTTGTTGTTGATAAAAGAATGAAGTAGAGCCTACCTAGAATCCTCATGCATATTTCCATATTTTTTGAATATACACTTAGAGAAATCAGGTTAAAACAAACATAACATTAGCTTTTTTTTTTCCTACAGAGGATAAGAAATGGGATAAAAAGAGGTACAAAGAGGACAAAGTTGCATCTTAATGGGCAAACAAACATTAGTATTATAAGCAAAGAAAATGTTAACATTAGTTAATTCTGACATGTGAGTACACGGGTATTTGCCTCACTCTGTGTCTTCTATTTGTTTTAAATATTTAATGATATTTACATTATTATGTATTAAATAATACTGTACGTATATGTGTGTGACTGTGCATATTTATGTATTGTGTATTTTTGTCTCTGCATGTGTTTCTGTGTATAAAATCTGGACTGATTCACACCAGATTGTTAACATAGGCCCATGATATCTTATCTAAAGTCTCTGGGGCCAGCTGGGTTTTGAAATTTGAATAGTTCAGAGTTGAGGCTGTTAATCTAATACATATGGGATGTATTATATGATTTCCTGAGGAAGCTTGGAGGCAGCGCTGTAAATCAAACCCATCACTAAAAGAACTGCCTAAATACCTCACATAGTTCTGGTCAGGTTAAGTTTTGCCTCTAAATTCATTTTTCACATACTGCCTTCCAAATTTTAATTTTCTAAATTGTGGCTGATTATCCTGTAATGGGTTTCTTAATGGAAAAGAAATCTCTCTAATGGAGATTTTCTTGTTTTTCTTTTTACTCACCTGTAGTCTCTAAAACAAACCTTTAATATAGCCAAGCAATAGGAATAAGAAGGAGCAGAGGCAGAGACAAAACTCTTACCTTCTTGGGGGTGAATTAAACATGGTTGAGGCTTAGCAAGAATCAAGACCATTCCCTCCCTTTGAAGGATATCACAATCAAGCTGAAGGTGATTAGTGATGAATGGGAGGCCCCAACTGGGTAGAGAGAATAGCCAACATGTGGTGCTGAGCCCCCGTGGAGGGGGATAAAGGGAGAAAGGAGAGTAGTTGGACAAGCCTGCTTTAGAAAACATCACAAATACGTTGCTATCCAATTATAAAATCCTATGAAATCACAAATGACTCTACAAACTACTTAATATTCCCCAGATAATAAAGAGTAGTCTCAATTTGTACTGCAAAACAGACCAAAACAAAAACCAAAATCCTAAAGAAATATTAAAGAGAAAAAACACTACACAATGCTGACACTCCTCAATGATAATGACAGGTTAATGAGTGCCTCCAGGCTTAGAAAGGAATGGCTTTGGTCTCAACTCATAATATTTCTCAAGTAACTAGTACTAACAGGACATTCTGGTTTTTGTTCTGTTTTGTTTATTATTATATTATTAAGACTTTTAGAGCAATTTTAGGTTCACTGCAAAACTGAGGGGAAGGTACAGAGTTTCCATATACCTCCTGCCCCCACCCATGCACAGTCTCCCCCATTATCAACATCCCCCACCAGAGTGGGGCACTTGTTACAACTGATAAACTGACATTTACATATCATAATCACACAAAGTCCATAGTTTACTTTATGGTTCCATGCGTTTGAACCAATGTATGTAAGACATGCATCTATCATTATATTGTCAAAATGTTTTCTCTGCCCTAAAAACCCTCTTGTCTTTCCCTGCCTCCCCCAATCCCTGGCAACCACTGATTTTTTATTGTCTTCAGAGTTTTTCCTTTTCCAGATTGTAATATAGTTGGAATCACAGTTTACAGCCTTTCACATTGGCTTCTTTTGCTTAGCAATACTCATTTTAGAGTTCCTCCATGTCTTTCCATGGTTCATTTGTATTTAACACTGAATAGTATTTCATTATCTGGATGTACCACAGTTTATTTATCCATTCCATTCACTTACTCAAGGACATCTTGGTTGCCTCCATCTTTTGACAATTATGAATAAAGCTGCTATAAAAATTCATGTGAAGATATTTTTGCGTAGAAAAGGACATTCTGTTTTCTTCCCAATAATGTCAATGAACAATAGACTCTAAATGATCTTAATGATTTCATTCTAACTAAAAGTAGACCTAATTTTAAAATTTTATATAGAATATAAATAAATGAGGCAAGATTTCATATTGTTATGATTTTATTTGTCCTGTCACATGTAATAGACATTGACATGAAAATGATTCCATGACTGGCCTTTATAAAATGTTTTCAATTAAAAGTTAATAGATTCATAGTGTTTTTGTCCATTAGATTTGGGAGTGGAATCATATATATAATCCCTGAGAACCGCGTGAAAAAGCCTCTAATCATTGAGCCTAGATTTCTGGTCAATAGGACAGTCCTCTAAATAAAGAATACTAACATTTACAGAATGTCTATTATTCCCAGACAATGTCCAGGTAATAACCACAGCAACAATAATAGCTAACTGTCTCTGTTTACTCTATGCCAGATTTCTTCCACGGGCTTTACATGTACAAATCATAAATCATTTAATCTCCACAATAACTCTGATGTATAATACTAACAGCAATCCATTCTATTCCCTGTTCCTCCTGCTTCCATGGGCAGGGACTTCCCTGAAGCAGCACTGCTGTTACTGACCCTTACCCTTTCCCCTGGGAGGAGGAAGATTTAACCGACCGGTGATGTTAAAAGAATAAGCTGGGTGTTCTCAACTCATCCTCTTTGTCTCTCATTCAACCCTCCTTTTGTGAGCCAACCCGTCTTCAGGAGGCAGGCTCTCTGATATTATCCCTGGATAATGATAAAAGGTGTCCCCCAACGTGTGAGTCTAGTCCTTCTCTAGCAGAGTTGGTTGTTCTCTGAGTGAATCTATTTATTCTGAGGTGAAATATTACTTTAAATATATGGCTGCAGAATCTAAAGCCATCTTCTCTAAAATATTTTGCTATTTGTTTGACTTTTATATTTCTCTCAATTCAAAACGAGGACCAAATGAGGTGTGCTATATATCAGGGGCCCCTAACACTCTAACAATAACCTTCTCACATACCCCACCCCCCCCACACACACACTTACAGAGGAAGAAACAGAAAGGCAGAGGGATTAAGCAACATCCCTATGATTCTACACCTGGATTTGAACCCCAGGCTCCAGAGCCTATGTTCACAGACACTACTGTTTGTGGCAACTTTTTCTCTATTATTCAGAATCCCCTAAAGTGTTGTTCTGAATTCCACTGGGATTTCACCGACTGGGAAATTTGAAGCTCTAAGACAGTGATGGCGAACCTTTTGAGCTCGGCGTGTCAGCATTTTGAAAAACCTTAACTTAACTCTGGTGCCATGTCACATATAGAAATTCTTTGATATTTGCAACCATAGTAAAACAAAGACTTATATTTTTGATATTTATTTTATATACTTAAATGCCATTTAACAAAGAAAAATCAACCAAAAAAATGAGTTCGCGTGTCACTTCTGACACGCGTGTCATAGGTTCACCATCACTGCTCTAGATGTAACATGCATAGTCACTTAGGAAACAATGAACTGAGCAGAGATCAGAACTCAGACCACCTGACTCTGAAGGCAGTGCATGTCCCACTACAGTCTACTTAGTTACTAAATCTAGTTTCAAAAATAATTCATTTCAAACATCATCTAGAAGGGAGCCATGTTCAGGGGGTGAAAGTTGGGGCACTCATTTGATAAGCTGCAATTGCCTTCTTTTATTATTAACCAAGAAAATGACACCAAAGATTGATAAAAATCTCCAATATTAATGGGTAACAGAAATAGAGCAACAGGATTAAATGTGACTATAGCTCAAGTAAGATTTTTTCACTATCTCAAATAATCCACCACCCACACTTAAAACACACACACACACACACACACACACACACACGACATTTTCCTCATAAGTTACTCTAATCTCAGCCATTTTATTAAATTCTTAACTCCACCTTTGCTATGCTTCCACAGATAACTCTTGAGCACTTAGTCAAAATAACCTCTCTATTCATTCCTGATTGTGAACGTGCTTGCTTTATTGATGTTGAAGGGATATATGTGCTAATGGTTGAGAAGATTAACATTAAATAGGAATCTTCTGCTGAGTTTTATTAATTTGTATGTGCTTACCTGAAAAGGCAAACTAGATTCTCCAGTCTTTGCATAGAGATTGATTTTTGCTTGTCTCCATTGAAATTTGGAGGTTCCAATTAGATCACCCTGCTTTTGCAAATTTCCATCCAGTGATGTTCTTGTAAAAACTGAGAGATGTGAATGCTGAGACAAATGATACCAAAACTGCACCTGTTGAAAAATATTGTTGAATATTCCATTTAACTGTCTCAAGTAGCTTTTCCATAATTAAAAATATCCCAAACTACTTTGGTGTTAAATATAATCTTCTCAATTCTCCTTTCCTCCAAGTGTGTAAGACCAGAACATGGAAACTACTCATTCGCCATACTTTGTATTCTCTCCTTAAGAAAAGGTGCAATGCCCTGGCCAGTGTATCTCAATGGTTAGAGCATCGGCCTGCACACTGAAGGGTCATGGGTTCAATTTCCAGTCAAGGGCACATACCTGGGTTGCAGGTTCCATCCCTGGGCCTTGGTCAGGGCATGTGCAGGAGGCAACCAATCGATGTGTCTCCACATCGATGTCTCTCTGTCTCCCTCTATCTTTTTCTCTCTCTCCCTCAAAATCAATGGCAAAATATCTTCGGTAAGGATTAACAAAACAAAAAAATAAATAAAAAAGGAAAGGCTCAAGGTGGCTGTACCAACTGCATATGTAACACATGTCATGGAGATGTCTAAAGAAATGGAGCACCAGCATACCACCAGAACAAGTTTGAGGGCACACATTTGTTCACAGCGTCATGGAAGTTTCCCAGGAGCCCTCCCTATTGTTTCTTATAAATCTTGGGAGATACACTTTCTGTCTCAAAGTTACAAAACCAGGTATTACTTTTCATTCTCCTTGAAAAACTATAATTAACACTTCTCATTAACCCCTTCTCTGTTGTAACGTTATCAAAGAATTGGGGAGCTCATATGATACTATTCATTAACAATTTAATCCAAGTGAGATATTGTTCTTTTTGAAACTAGGGAGCCTTGGTCATTTTGCTTCTACTTGTCATCAAAGATGACATAATCTAATAAAAGTTTGACAGGTAAACCATGTAATGAAGAAAATATATAGAGAGGATTACTTTAGGTGTTATCAGTACCTATAACATAGACTCCATCATTGTTATTTATTCAACCAATATTTACTGACCATTTAATAAGTACTGGGCACTGTGAAAGGCAAAAATAAATTTCCTCAATGGTTGGATAATTCACTCTATAAAATATGGTAACTACACCTCCTTAACAACAGGTTCAGACACACAGCAGTCTCTTTTTTTCTTATTATGACATAGAATCTCAAGGCTGCTTTTTTCAAGGGAAAACATAACATTCAGAGATGAGGTCCCACAGAAACAGAATCCTTCTGTTTGGACTCAAAGTGATTCCTTTTTAATTTGACTATATTTTAAATTCTTGCTTTCTTCCCTTTGTCATTCTGCTTTTATTTTGTTATATGAGCAGATATTAGTGCATATATATAGTAATTTACCCATTTATTTCACTGTTGGTACCAATTTCAGTGGAGATGAAAGATTGCAAAATTTCATTAAATTCTCTTTTTAAAAATTGTTCATTATAAAATATCAAGCATTTTCTGTTCTAATGTGGTACATGTTTTTTCCACCATATACTTAATTGACACTACCTGATCAAATAAAGTCTTTCTGGCTGTCCATTTCATTTTAGATTTTACTACCAGGATCATGTAAACTCAGACTTTGACAGGTAAGCAGAAGTGTAAAGTCAAATGGAAGTGTTTAATTAAATTCTATGGAAATGGAGGATTTATGTTCCTCAATTACAATTAAATTTTAGATCCCTGCTGTAATTTCAGCATGTTGCACGGTTGTAAATATGCAAAACAGAGCTTTAAAACCTAGTTATAAAAGAGATATGCATGCCCCATCAGAATTCCAAGCTGTCAAACTGTCAGTACATCACCAGTGTGAAGTTATTTTAATAATATATTACAAGTAAGAACCAATGGGATCCACATTCAATAGAATAATGGATTAGAACTTATATTAAATTTACTATTTTAACATAATTGGCATTGTAGAAACTTAAGGAGAATTCTTGAATTTATTATAGACCAAGAAACTTTCTATAGCCTTTTCACTTTTAATATCAGTAAGGGTGAAAACATGGAAAAAAATTATTAATACAGCTGTGGTTGGAAACAGGCACTCATCAAGTGTGCAAGGTCTGTGGCTCTTGATCTGATATACACCAGGCGTAGAACACCAAGACATGAACTCAAAATGATGATGCATGTTGTGAATTCCTCACAGAACCTATTACAGTAATTTGTATTCAGTAGGTATTCAGTTAATAAGTACTGAAAAAAGAGGAAGGAATGAGTGGATTGTTAGCATCAGTACTTAAGTAAATATGTATAAACTCTGGAAGGGAGGGAGAGGGAGAGAAAGAGAGGAACAGGGAGAGATGAGAGAGAGAGAGAGAGAGAGAGAG